TGGGTACTGTAGAATATCGTTTAGTACAATAAATACTAAGTATATTTCTAGCCAGGAGAAAAGACTGACTTTAAGATTTGAATGATGTACAGTAAATTGGAAGCATATGATCTTACCAGTTCACTTTGGGCCCAGAATTTTGGGTGTGAAATTCTGAAGTATGCTTTTTCTTTAGATTAGTTAAACCCCAGAATCTTGAACCCCAGATATTAGGTTGCCCCAAACATTCATTTGTTTTTTTTTCCATAAGGTGGCTCTAGTAAGTGCTTAGTTGTCTTTGACTTCATTCAAAACAATTTTGTTAGATGGTATTGTGCCTGCTGTCATATCAGCGTGAATTTTTAAAAAATAATATCAAAATTGGTGAATTTTTTTATAGCCATTGTAATATTGGAGATGGGAGAAAATATGCAACATTTTGGGCATATTGTGTTTTATTAAGAAAGGTAAAAATGCAACTGAAATGCAAAAGTTTGTGCAGTGTTTGGAGAAGGTGCTATAAGTGATCAGACTTGTTAAAGGCAGTTTGCAAAGTTTTGTGCTGAAGATTTCTCACTAGATGAATCTCCATAGCTGGGAAGACCAGTTGAAGTTGATAGTGATCAGATTGAGACATTAAGTGAGAACAATCAATATTCTGCCATGCAGGAATAGCCGACATACTCAAAAGTATCCAAACCTATAAACTTATTGGTGAAAATGAAAAATGTGACTTATTTTACAGAAAATTTCATACCATCTTTTTGGCCAACCCAATATTTACTCATATATCTGATCCATTATAATGGAAAAGTTAACAAAATAATTTCATCCTCAGTGGGCCTAGTAGAAATTTATCCTAATTCACTGTCATATTTTATTTAATTAGTTTGCTGTCCCTCTATCCATACCTAAGCCACTAACATAGATATGTATAGCCCCCATCAAACTAGGATAAGAGCAAATCATGGGCTAATTGGTACAATTGACTTCAGTGATCCATTTGGAATATTACAGCTGATTAATCCTCCATAATTGTAATATCAAATTTTGCCTCATTTTTACTCTTATTTCTTGTTTTTTCTAACTCCTCCTTCACCCTCACTTTCCGTAACACATTCCTGTGGGTGTTAATCTCTCATACTCTTGTTTCCTGAAAGGCTCTATTCAACAAACATGTATTAGGTACACTTCAGCCCTTACATATTTAACCTTTCAACTAGCAGGGCATAATCTATTATACCTATTAAAACCTTCCGGTTTATTTGAAAGCTGGCATTTTTTAAAACTCATCTCTCAAGAAATGGCTGTGATCCTTTCATGAAGTAAAAATTCCCTTCAATGCTTTTTCTTGTTGTTGTTGACACTATAAATATGGTAAAGACATGTTAAGTTTTTGTATGTTTTTCAGAAATTCTTATTATTTAGCTGGTTACCAGATATTCTTGCTTCTCTTCTAACTAATTAATGAGCCTCAGAGAATTAATGGGTACTTAGAATCCTGTGAGTTTCCAAGTAGGCTACAATGTGCTTGCTTAGAAGGTGGTCATCATCTTCATTCAAAGTTTAATTCTTGCTTGTCCTTTCTTTTCATGTTTCTTCTTTCTGCTCCTTGGCCTCTATAAATTCAGCACTGCCTAAGTCGATTAGGGCAGAATATTCCTACAGCCAAAAGAAATACTCCATTTTAAAAATCTCTATTATACAATGACGTGAATAAACTAAATTCTCAAGGTCCAAAGAATACTAGAAAGTCAGCATATCTCTAGGAAATCCAGTTTGAACCAAGATATTTGCTGGCCCCAATGCCTCCCTCAAGTTCTTCAAAAGCTATCCAGAAATGAGAAGGATGTTTTCTGATCATCTGGCCCTCCAGGTAGTTGTCTCAGGCCACCATAAGAGTAGCAATTTAGTGATGGAATTAGATTGTGTAACCCTTTTTTTTTCTTCAGAGAAAGAAATGCTGCTTCATCCAGTTTGAGGTTGCTGATTAACAAACCCAGACATGTATTTCTCCCTCAGTGTTGCTCAGCTATTATATTTCTGATAGCTTTTACCTTTCATCTAAGTGTATAAAATTACAAGAAGCAGAATATTTTATTTTTATTTGGTAGACTGAAATCTAACTCCCACTTTTTCACTCTCAAACTTTAGTGAAAATATAGGCATTTTTTTTAAATCTTTTTTTAAAAATTTTATTTAGTTATTTTTCAAGTACAGTTTTTTGTCTATTTTTCTTGCTAGTAGTATATGAAAGTTATTTCAGCTTTTAAATACAGGGTCTGGCACAAATAGCACCATAAGCATGTAATTCTGTAATATAACAATCTCACACTCAAGCACTCCATATAACATGTTAGGTGAAATGATCAAATTAAAACTATAAATTATTACACCCATATTATTACCCTACCAACCACACTCAAGCAGGTCTTACTTCTGCTGGACCCTAACCAAACAAAAACAACAAAAAAAAGAAAGAAAGTAGTAAAACCTTAAGTATGTATTTAAATATTAGGTTTGAAAATACCTTGCCCATCCTGTTTCATAAATGTTGTGAAATAATTTTCTAATGTCATTTCAAACATAGGTTATTAAAGATCTAGTAATCTTAAAAAAGAACACTTGTTTTTTAAATTTTTATTGTATTTTTTATGACCATTTAACCCCCTTTATACTTCCCCCTGCAATCACCACACTTGTCCATGTGTCCTTTTTCATTTTTGTTCATTCCCTCCATTCCCTAAAAGACCCCTCCATGAGTTTGTCTCTATATTTGCTTGTTAGTTCAGTTTGATCACTTATTGATGCCTTTTTAAGAGATGTAATACTGAGGTCCTTCAAAGTTTTAATTTAAGTTTGGTGACATATTTGTATACTCATTATATTTATATTATTTAATGTATCTTGTTTCACTTGTGCAGTATCACTATATTCAGTTTATTTTCAATTATAATGATAAACTGCATTAATATCCCATTTGGCATAGAGAATGTTTTAGAAGCCAGTTTACTTAATTTAGTGATCTGAGATCTGAAAAAAAGTAAACAGTAGAATAAAATGCAGTATATGTTATGAATTAATATGTATTTTAAGAATGTTTTTTCTATAATTTCTAACATAACATTCTCCTTAGTATTACATTTTATTAACTCCAGGAAAGAAGAAGAATCAGTAACTTTGGGAAAGGATATAAAATAAAATGAAAACTATTAATTCTTCATTGTTTGAAGAAAATTAAGTATAATCGGGACTCAGTGTTTGTGTATAAAGTATTATACCATGAAAAATTGGTAATTTGATAGTAAAAAAAAGACTTTTCTTTGGCTATTGCCATCCTTTCTTTTCTTGTGGTGGGAGGTGTCAGTTAAAATTTTAAGGAATTGTTCATTTCCATAGCCAATGTAAAGTATTGGGTTGGCCAAAAAGTCTGTTACATTTTTTCCATACGATGGCTATAGTAGCACTTAGTTGTCTTTAACTTCATTTGAAACAATTTTGTTAGGTTCTGTTGTGGTAGCTGTCATATCAGTGTGAATTTAAAAAAAAACATAAAAATTGAAATTTTATATAGCTCTTTTAATATTGAAGATGGAAAAAGGTACACAACATTTTTGGTATATTATACTTTCTAATTTCAAGAAAGGTAAAAATGCAACTGAAATGCAAAAAAAAGATTTGTGCAGTGTATGCAGAAGGTGCCGTGACTGATCAAATGTATCAAAAGTAGTTTGTGAAGTTTCTTGGTACTATTGACATTTTGGCCAAGTGATTCTTTGCTGTGGGGCTGTCTTATGCATTGGAGGATGTTTAGCAGCACCCCTGGCCTCTACCCACTCACCAGAAGCCAATAGTGGGAGATAGCTAACATACTCCAAAATATGCAAATCAATAAAGTTACTGGTGAAAATGAAAAATGCGACTTTTATTTTACAGAAAAAAACTAAATGGACTTTTTGGCGAACCCAATATAATGGTTAACTTTGCTTTAAAACATTAAATATTTTTATGACTTCTTGTACTGAATTGTTGATTTGATCAGATGATAAAAATAAAAATAATAATATGGATTTTCTCTCTTAAATTACATAATGTGATTTTTATTTAGCTGCAGTTAATAGTGTTAATAGTACCTAGTAACCAAATACAGGGTGTTCAGAACCTGTCTTTATAATACATGTGATAGTAGGAGCAGATGGATAGATGTCTTTTAAATATGAGGTTATCAAGAACGCATCTCATATATTATTAGTACGTGCTACTTAATTAAGGTGTTAGATTCTGTTTAGTGTGCTGAGATGACCTGGAATAAAACTTTCTGTAGTTGCCCCTTTTCTTTGTTGGCTCTGAATTATTTTCTCTTTTACATTCCATTTCTGCTGTCATTTCTAATAGCTCTTCCACACCACCATATCTTAAAACATAATGTAGAGGCCATGATTACATGTTATAATGTTTGTTCATATTCATAGACCCTTCACTTACAGATTTTAATGTAAGGAAGGTTAAGAGAGGGATGGATAGATTTAGTACCTTTTTAACATTATTGAAGGTGTCTTTGTACACTTGCATTAAAATATTAATTCATTTTAAGCAAAATCTGCACTATACTTTTATGACAGAATAGAAAAGATATTAAATACTTTTTATGCTTGAGACTATTTAGAAAGAGTAGTTACTGTCCCACATCTTGAATTATGAAGTCATATCATATTATGAATTATAAAAGTGAAGAATTTTTTCTCATAACTAAAAAAATCTGCTGGGGTTCCTGCTCCTCTGGTCTCCATTCTGATTTTAATTAGAGAATGTCTTTTTAAAAGTTTTACTTTTGTGATTGGGCTTATTTTTATTTTATTCTCTGGGGGTGGGGAAGATGGCAGACACACGTTTAGTAAGAGCTGTTCATTTGCCACCATTCAGGAAGAAATTGAACTTTAAAAAATCTATCAAAAAGTCTCTAGTGAGCCTTTTATTACTATCTTGTCTTGAGCCCTCTTTTTAATGACATCTATTATCAGATTGAAATGGCGATTGAGACGCTGCAAAAGTCTGACGGTCTGTCCACTCACAGGAGCTCTCTTCTCAACAGCCATGTAAGTTGCCTCTTCATGTAAACTAATCTCTTGCTTGTTCTGCATGTGTTGCTTGCTTCTAAATGCTTGTTTTATTTATTTACTTATTTATTTTGCTTCTTAACCTTCCTTTCTCAGCCCCTTATAATCTCTGTATCACTTAATGGCTATTTTGTACAGTGGAGTATCTAAAAATAGAGTCCCCAGTATTCTGCTTTACTAGGTTTTTATACTGTTTTGGTACAACTATAACATTTCCAAGTTAATAACAAGCTGCTATTTATTTGTAAAGTGTAATTGATGGGAATTTTCAACATTTAAAGTTTTCTGTCTGTTATTTATTTACATGAAGCCAATGCTTATTACTGCATCTCTACATCTTTTTGAGACAGAGATTATTGTATCTCTTCTATGTCCAGTAATATTCTTTAAGTGAAAAGTAGGATTGTTAATCCAAACCCAATTATAAACTGTTTGAAAATTATTTATTCATGTCATATAAAATGGACAGTAAACAGCTGCTTAGAGAAGCCCAGGGCCTAAGACCTAAAGAAAAATGAAACTGGGCCAAAAGAAGTGAGGCTATAGATAAGGCATAAATTACTAATAGTTGAGACAAAACAGGAATAGTGTTACTACTTCTTGAAGCTTTTAATGGTTACCTGATGCAGCATCACTAGAACACTGGTAAGTGTAAGAAGACTGATGACAGTTTGCTAGAACTAGAAATATGTTCAGCAAATGTTCAAATTTGGGGGAACCAATGAAAATAGTGATTAAAAATTGTTTTGTTTCCATGATTCCTGATTATATGGGAAAAAGGTAAATAGACCCTTGAATTAGATCTTCTAAATTAATGATAATGACAATAAAGTAAGAATTAGTTTTCCCTCCCAAATCCAAAGTGTGTATATATTAAATTTAGAGATGTTATTATGATTTTTTAAGTTCTTCATATTTTGTGACTGAAAAGTCCAGAATTGGATTATCCAAATGCAATTTAAGAAATACTGTTCTTCTTTCAGTATACCTATAACCTTTGGCTGATAGAAAATGTTTTCACTGTGCTTTTTAAAGATTTGTATTTTCAAACATTTAAATTCCAACACAACACTAAATACTATGTTCTTACACATTTGTTTTTAGATGAAGTATTTTATCTTGTTTCTTTTTCAAGAGGAATTATCCTGTCAAATAAAAACAAGTTAGCCAACTTGGATAATGCCCACAATTTTGGTGAAATTTATAAATACAAATTTTAAAAGAACATTTGTTTTGGCCCTTGTTTCTGAAGCACTTTAAGAAATATAAATTTTTTTTCATTTTCTGAAAATTTGTATGCAATGTGTCACTCTTATATGTTTCAGAAGTATATAGCTTTTGTGTTGCCATGAGTCTTCAGTTGTGTGTAAAGGCTGATTTACTGTGTGTTTGTTATTAGGGTATATGTTTGGGGGAAGGAGGTAATACTCATTGGTGTTTGTGTTTTGAGAATGGCAAGCAAAACTGTTGTTATTCACTTTTCATCAAAATATCCAGGGACTTATGAAAAAACCCCTGAAGTTTCCAGTTACCTTTTTTGAACTTTCAGGAATCTAAGAAGTTGTACTTTGATATTCAGTTCGCATTTCATTTTCATTTGAGATACATACTTTAGTAAAATTTATATGTTGAATTCTAACTTGAATTATTTATCTTCATTAGTATTTTCATGAATAATATGTGTGAGAATTTTTGTATGCTTTTATTTGTTGATTTGTTCAAAATTTTCCAAATATGTTGGGCTTTTTGAAATTACCATTTTCTTCTAGAATTCATAAAGTAGTAGTGTTAATGTGTGAGTTAAGCTGCATAAGCAACACTTAAGTGAGTGTTACTTCATGGCCTCATATTTCTATCATGTGGCGTGACGGGTCTTTCACACTGCCAGAGGCATCTCAGTATACAGAAAGAGTGGGTGTAAATGCTACTAATGCAGTGATCATCTTTTTCTAGACTCGTTGTTATACCTCTGAGACACAGTTAAATTCATTTAAAAACACTTTTATAGGCAAGTCTTTAGAAACACAAATTATTTTTACAGATAGCATGTTAGGGGTGGAGAAGGGATCAGTGTTTCTGCTGACCAGTCAGCTTTCCTTTCTCCCTGAGCACAGAAGATCCTGTTGCCTTTCTGTTCTTGCAAAGTTAGTGACACTCCTCATTCCTATTAGATTTATCTAAGCAACTACAATAAACTACTGCAGGCTTTCTAGTTGAAAACCACCTACTAAGGGTATTTTAAATTCTATTAACCTAGTTGGTGATTTTCAGTTGTATAGAAAAATTTTGGTAGAGGTTTTTAATGAAATATAGTTAATATTTTAACTGTATTTAACTATATTTGATACTTTAAATATCAATAAACTATAAGTTGCCTTTACCCCCTCACTGTATAGGACCGATAAAAAAATTATTTGATGTTCATGGGATTCTTTAAAGAGGACATGAATTCAACTTTATAGTAGTTCTCTGGCTTACCTGTTTCTACAGAGGGTTAATTTTATTAGAAAGTTCAGAGAAATTGTCGATAATTTGCACCCCATATTTATCTGTTTATAAAGAAGGATCTTAATCATGATTTTTTAGTTCAAATCTATTGTCATTCTATTTTGGAATAGGGACTAGAACAGATTTCCTATTTTTTCTTTATGCATTTGATTATTCATAGCAATTCAGAAAATTCTCATTAGGGTCAAATCACAGAAATCATCCCCTCTCAGTGGAATCCAATGTGATTGCTTTGTTTTTCATCTTTTTTTCTGCACACTAGTCAATGGAGCGGGGCATTAAATTCCATGTCCCTTTTTCAGCATATTCTTAAGAGTCTTTAGTACTGCTGCTCTGCCCTTATAATTATTGTGTCATTATCATCCAGGCTGAAATGCACATCTAACTTGTTGGTTTCATAATCTTTATAGTGTCCCCACCTGTGATTAAGTAGAGTGACACCAAATGCCATGTTTTATGTTATTAACAACATAATGGCAATTATGTTAGTAGTAGTGTTTGACAAGTGAAAGTTCCAAGAATGTAAGGATTTTACATATTTTATGCATCGATGCATCGTTTTGTCTAGAATAGTGCCTGACACATAGCAGATGCTCACTAAATATATTTTAAATGAATGAATGTAAGAAACAAGTAATATAAGGGAACAGTCCTTATCTTACCTCTAGTCTTCTAAGTAACTTTCCCAATCATGTGTACATTTATTTGATATGCATTGTTTTCTTACCCAGTATGTTTCTGTGGGCATGTGTGTGAATACTGTTGGTAGAGAGTGGTCTTCTGTCACAACCAATTGAGTGAAAGAATATATGCTCACTCTGTCTGTCCATTTGCTGCCATCAGTTTAAAAGTAGACCCTGTTCCTTTTTTCTCCAAAAATCTAATCCTTTGAAAAACAATAGCCAAGGGTGATATTATTCATCTCCATGTTTTAGAATGATACTTATGATTTAACTTTATATCAACCTATTATTATAATTTTTTTCTAAATATTTTGTATGTGAAGATGCTACAGGTGAATGATAGTCTGCCTAAATCAAATTAGAATATTGTAATTCTCTTCATTGAAGACTTTATTTTAAATTTCTTCTGTGATATAATTAATATAAATTAATATTTAATGGCTTCTATTGTATCCAAGTTGTGATATTTTAGATCATAAGTTTGAATGTAGAAATGTTCTTAATTGTTCCCAATTTTCATATAATCTTCTTTAGCTTGTGCATTTAAAAAAAATTCCATTTAAAGTATATAAAAAGCTTTAAGCATTTTCTTTTATAGACTTTTCACAATCTAGCAAATAATTGTTTCATGAATTTTACTGGTTTTAGCTACTGAAATATATTGAGGTCAAAGCAAAACCTTGCTTTATACTCACTTTCACTTGCCATTGCTGTGTTGTAAATACAAGTTATGACAGAATAAGACTTGTCAAAATGCATATCATCAGTGAACTGAATTTAAAATGAATCCTAATGGATAATAATCCATCTGGGAAAAGTGAGAAATGTTACATTTAGATGTTAATTGGAGAATGTAAGATGTGTTTTTTTTATTTGTCAATCAGTATTTTCCTTTGGGAAAAATAGGACCTATTCATCTTCCTTAATCTATCCTGATTAATGTAAGTTAAATGCAAAGCTTGAAAGATGAAATTGTCTTGGTTTCCAACCTTAAAGGAATTTCTGTTAGTTCATTAGTAGAATAATCAGCTTTAAAAGATAAAGGTTAAAAGTTCCTGTGGCATTTTATGGGCTTTTAAAGTCACAAGTATATACAAATATTTTATAAGACATCTTATAAAAGAATAGAAGAAATACTTATAGTTTAGTTCTAAATTACTTAATGTTAAAGGTGTTGAATGCTAGTGTCAAAATACATTTTATTAAAGGCAATACCCAAGAAAAAGAACACATAATAGGCATCAACTTTTCTTGGGCAATACATGGAGTGTATTTATGCCTTTAAATTATACTTAACTGCCAAGTTTCTCTTCAATAAAATTCATCCTTATACTGTGTTTTAGACTCAAATGTCTGATTTAGAATTTTATCACCGTCAAAACTTGAAGGTTTAATACAAACATGTAGAATGCAGATTTTAATTCCCAGCTAAAACTCAAAATGTTATCTGGTAGGTCCTGAACCAATTTCCAGATACACAGTGAGTTTTGGAGCACCACCCCTAGGTGATACAGTTCAGCTGTTGGCAGTCTTCCTCGCTGAAGACAGTCCTGGCTGCAGCAGAGCCACCTCCACCCTTTGGGACTTTTACTTCTACTGGATTTCTTTCTGCTTTTCCAAAGAGACCTCTGGACTTCCGTCAAGGAATATAAGCTCTCCTACAGACAAGGGGCAGGGGACAAAAAGTAACTTTGCTATTGTCAAAGTTATAGTTACTAGAATACTCACACTTGTGGAATTTTTTAACCAACTAACCACATGGGTGCACACACGTACACATATGCACACACAACATGAACATGCATGTAAATGTGTACGCACATGTTTGTGTGTGTGCACACATATAACAAATAAACACAGATTTTTTTAATTGGTTTAGAAATGAAGAATCTTTAAAAATGTAAATCATTATAATAAGAACAGTTTACAAAACAGTCCAGATTATTTGACTTGCTTAGTCATTTCAGAGGACCACATAACCAATCTAATAAAAGCTTTATTTTCTTAAAGTTATTGATTGAATTTTACTAATATTATTTAGACTGAGTTCTTTTAAAGCCAACTTTTGCTGTCATTTTCTCATTCTGTGAAAAAAATCTTAAATTAAAAATGGTTCGATTAACTCATATGTATCAACATACTATTGAGCTAAAAAATATTCTGTATTGAACTTAAATATTTGCATAATTTTTTACTTTTATAACAGATAATTTATGATAAAGTTATCAAATATTTTATTGGATTTGCCTTTTCAAATTCTTTTATAATTTTTGTATAATTTTCTTGACAATGAGATATTAGTAAAATCTCATTTTTAGATATTAGTCTTTAATTTTTACATAATAAAATATGAGAAGAAGACTAGTAAACAATTAAAACAGTTTACAGAAATGGCCCATTTATATCTTGTTAATTATTTTTATTTGCTTTGTATCTTACTCAAAGTATTGTACATTGAATATATTTATTATTGTTCAAGTACAATACATCAGATATATTTTATTATTACATCTGTTTATAAAGTTTATTACAAAATTGATTATTAACCATTTCTGAAAAAATTCTTAAATTTACCTTTTGTGTATAGATATATGTTTTCATTAACAAGGAAAAATTATTTTATTTTTTCTTAATTTCTTTTAAAAGAAATCATATAATTTGGGCTTTGGCAATATGCATTATTTTACCAGGATACACAGATATAAATACAAATATGCCTTTGAAATTTTAATTTATGTGTTCTATGCTTATGGATGTGAGCATTTCACTAGTTATAAAATATTACTGCTTTTCAAGAAATATTTCCAGTTTTTATATTTGCCTTTCTGGGAATGGCTTTTCCTTAATGTTCCCTAAGATTTCTTGATCTCAAGAACCTGAATTTCTCAAAGAATATTACTGTATTCTGTATTTCTATATTCTGTATTTCTCTATTCTTAGTATGATAAGAGTAACAATGGAAGGCTCAGTCCAGTCTCTGCGCACAAAAGAGCCAGCACACTGTGCAGTGTGGGTCACGAGAGCTGCTCCAGCACTGTTCAGACGAGGAAACTGTGCTTTCAGATACCAGCCCTGTCATTGAGGGGCATGGTAGAAGTATGAGAGGCAGGTTTGATTGCCACATTTTGTGTGTGATCTCCGTCAGTTGCATTTATAATCATCCAAGTCTTAAAATTTAAAAAGAAATGTTAAAGAGACATTCTGACCCACTGTTGGAGGCAAAATACTAGTCTGACCCATAAGAGCTTCATTTCCCAGTTCACTGCCTCACTTTCACAGTACCGATCATGTTATCCGTGTGTCATTTAGAATACTCAGAAATCATATTTCAGTGCCTCTAAATATGTTTAGCAACAGGTAGTAGATGATTCATATGAAAAGAATTATTTGACCTGTAATTTATTTTGTCATAATAAAATGAATATTTATTTTGTGTAATTCTAAAAAATGTTTATAGAGACTGTTGTATATGTACTAGAGGCAATAGGCATGTTTAAATGTGTATATTCATATGCAGATGCAAGTAGCTGAAAAGAACTTCAGCTTCCTGACCAGAACATGATTTTTCCTTTTAGTATTCTGTTCTGTCTTATAATTTTGATAGCTATAATTTCTAAACCAACATCAGTATGGGTTTAATGTAGGAATATTTGAAATTATAATGGTTATGGAAAGCACAATTATTGTGGTTAATTAAAGGTAAATATGCAAATGTTTTTAGTGAATTTTATTGAGTCTGAAAGTTCAGGTTCTGAGTTAGATTACAAATCTTAAAATATGTAAGCAAAATGGAGAAACATTTTTATTTGTGTCCATAATATCATTTTAAGGATATGATTGTAAATTCCTAGAGGACAGGGGTGAATCACGTTTATTTTTATATCACTAGATGTTACCACATTGCCTGGCATATTGTTAATGCTTAATAAAGGAATTCTTTGGCTTCCATAACTTGACTAGAATTGCATGTAAAATATCAGCTCTTTATCATACCATTTATATATGGCATGGGAATTTTGTTGAGTCAAGTAATGTGAAAATTTTTCTGCTTTTGTGGAAATAACAACTGGTATGTGAGTAATTAGACAACGTGTGTTGGAAACCAGACTTGAGCACTGGGATCATATGCAACTTTAAGAAAGTAATTTAAGTGTGTTTTAGTTCTTTTGTAAATAAGTAAATGAACAAATTAATAATTTATTTTTACTAATATTAAAACTCAATAATGTATACCTATGTTAGATTTTCTAAAAATGTCTTGCTCATTCTATACTTTAAAGGTAATTTTTTTAAAATACACATGGGACAACATAAAACTTTAAAATGTGAACTATAGACTGAGAAAATATTGCTTTACCAATTGCAGTTGTAGTGTGTCTTCCAAAGTTATGAAAAAACACATAGTTTTGAGGTAGAAAAATTCAAATAATTGTAATGATTCCTTTTCATACATTTTTTTTAAACTGAAATGTATTAAGTTTCTTTCCTTCTGGGGAAGAAATGACTGACTCTTTTTCTTTCTGCTTGCAGAATTCTCTCCCAGTAGTTAACATTATTATTGTATTTTTTGTGTAAGTGAATTAGAATTTTATAGAAATGAATAGAACCTTAATATAAAAACTCATACAAGGAAGCCCGCTGTTGATGTGTTATAATGAGCCAATACTAAAGACATATTACGTGTCATGCTGCTAGGTTTGGTAACATATTTTGTTCTGTAATAATTATCAATTCTTTTTATGACCAGCTAATGGGATTATTTGAATTTCCTAAAGAGGTGTTTGTCTCTAAAATAGCAGCCAATACGAGGAAAATTATTTTGTCTCTACATGTGTTTGAATGTTTGCAGGAATGGAGGTTGTCTGAGATCATAAGGGATGCACAACCATTCACGTTTTGAGAGTTTCAGTTTACACTGGCCTCCGCGTTAAAACAGCTTACCCTCTTACAAGGCTTGACAGGGATCTAAGCATTTCTGTACACTGCACTTGCAGATACTGTGTTTTTTATTCCTGTAAATTGCATGGTTTCTCTGTGTTTACTCTGTCTTATTTATACTAGCTCCAGTGGCTGTTGGACAATTACGAGACAGCAGAAGGAGTGAGCCTTCCCAGAAGCACTCTCTACAACCACTACCTACGACACTGTCAGGAACACAAACTGGACCCAGTCAATGCTGCTTCTTTTGGAAAACTAATAAGGTCAATTTTTATGGGGCTACGAACCAGGAGATTGGGAACTAGGTTAGTATCGAAAAATCAGTTCATAAATTAATCTTTTTCAAACTATAACAGTTCAGTATATTGTTTGAGCAAAAGTACTTGATTAAAGGTAACATGTAAAGAAGAAATACAGAATTATCTCAGTTTAAAAACTGTTCCTGCTCCCAGGAAAAGGAAAACTCAGTTCTCAATGAATACTACCAAATCAGACTGATACACTATCTTAAACATCAACTGAGCAAAGCTTTGAGAACTGATTCTCAAATTACATAGGAAGTAGCAGACAAACCTGTTAATGCAAGATCTACATATGATGCTTTAAAAATTAATATATATATCACTGTCTTCTCTTTTTGAAAATAACCATACTAAAGATGATGAGTAAATAACATAGTACGTGGAAAACTGTGTATCTCTTGAAAAAGTATATTGGAATATCTATAAATAACTCTTGTATTTGAATGGAGTAAGAGATTAAAGCTAAGGGTTTTTTTTTTTTCCATTTCATTTCTTTAGACCAATTAAGAATCATTTGGTGAACTTGAAAAATATGGCTGTTTGTAGCCCTCAGTAATGAGATGGCCCTATTTACTCTTTTTACCCTTTTAAATTTCTTGAATGTGAAACCATACAAGAATGGAAGAAAAAATATAGTATAGTTTTATTGCATGGGCGCCAGTAAAGACAATGTGATAGAAATAACACTTAGAACTGTTGGAGCTTCAGTTTTACTTTCCTATAATTTTTACAAATTATCTTAACACACATTTTCAGTAGCTTTTATTTCCTAAATCTTACAGAAATCCGTATTAAGTAGTATAAAAATAAAGATCGTCCCCTGTAACATTAGATGATCTACCTTTAATTAGTTGCAAGTCATAGTGTCATTTTATTCTAAGTAATTGACCTCATAAATTTATACTGAAAAAAGATGTGTGTCCATTTTATGAAGTTTATAAGGTCTGTATGTATTCAGAATGTGAATTCTTTCTATTGCATTTCAAGTGATTATACAACTTGCAGATTGCTAGAGGTTTATTTTTCTCATAAGTGTATTTTCTTGTACCTGTCTTTCAGTCCCGTGGGGGAAAAATAAGCTTATTGTTTCTTAAGTATTTTTCCCCAGAACCACAAAAATCACTGTTTGGTTCCTAACCTACTATCTCCTAGCTGATGGCTCAGTAGTTATGCATACTGTGCCTATATTTTAAAACTTCTGGGCTTTATTCAACATTCTAATAGCTGTATTGTTGTGCTTCTTTTGTTACTGAAAGGGATTTCAATGGATCCTATTTTGAGGCTCCATTCAAACCTTGAAACACATCTTTAAAATAGAAAGTGACAAAATTAGGGTTGTTTGGGTTTGTGAATGAGTAGAATCCATACTCTGTAAGTACATATTGCAATACTACAGCATTTATTTTCTGGTGTTCTCCCCCCCACTCCCCGCTATGTAACAATATGTCTTCTGTTCCTTTTAAAATTGTTGTATAGTATTTGTAATTAGGATGGAAAGCACAGCCGAGAAGAATAAGGAGAAAAGAAAGCCTTTGGGGAAAGTTTAAACAAATGCTGTGTTATGAGGGTAGCAGACCTCTCATGCAGAAAAACTGACAATGGTAGGGGTCAAAGTGCTGAGTCTTTCTACCATGGAAACTGAATCAGCATCCACTTTCTACCTTTAACACAGGGAACAGAAAGTAAATCAGTATAAATCATGAGACCACTTAACTCAGATACTTTTTTTAAAGCAAATTGTATGCAGAACTTGTATTTTATCCATTAATAAAACTGAGTAGTGAATTCATTCAAACCAAAACCAGACCTTTTATCAAGTTTTGGAACTATAAAGTAAATAAAATCACCATGTTTGTAAACAAAAACAAATGAAAATCTATCTTTTATAGATTGCATTTCCAAATTAAGTTTAAACCAAGACCATGGGCCAGCTAACCTCCCCCATTATCCACAGAATAGAGAAAACCACTTCCCCTGCCCCCACCCAAACAAATGTTGATTCGTAGGAAATTGAAAAGAAAGTAGACACTTCATTTGTTTTGTGGTCTGAAGAGAGAGACACCATTTCACTCTGTAGTCCTGTCATTGGCTGTGTTCCCAGGTTAATGTCTTCTGCTTCCTACCTCATCATGACTCCCTATCATTCTCCACTTTGTACAAGAGAACACTACTGATTGGGTTTGTAGTATTTTTCAGTTTTGTTTTTTATTCTCTTCTGTAGTAGATTTTAGAAAGAAGATTTAATCTCTGCAAGTGGAAGGCTTTTCTTTAGAAGCATTAGGTTTTCGTAACTGGTTTATTTTGCTAAAACTACATAGGTATTCAGATGCTCTACATTTGTTTAAAACTAACAGTACTATATATAAAACAAAATTTTAATGACTTTTCAAATTTATAGGGCTCATTTATGTTCTTTAATCTTAGAAATAAAATTCTGTTCTATTTTTATCATATTCATTTTGAACCTAAGAAAATTAACTATAATTCATTGTCATATATATTTCATATTGAGATTATCCCACAAATTTTATTTATTTATTTTTATATTGTATTTTTTATTGAATTTATTGGGGTAAAATTAGTTAATAAAATTATACAGATTTCAGGTATACAATTCTATAATCCATCAATTGTATATTATATTGTGTTCTATTTTTATATAAATGCTTAGTCTATACTTCCCTTGCATTTCTTTTTGTAAATGAAAGAAAAAAATTGAAGAGTCCTGATATCTTGCTATATATAGTCTTGTGAAAAACTATTTTTCTTTGCAAAAATTTACATATTTAAAATGTTATTTTTGCAACAGTTTCAAGTTTCATTCAGAGCTAAACTTTGTCATTTTTAATAACAAACACAGTATTTCTCCTGAACAAGAGAAAATTCTGATGTTTTTATTCCAGGTGGAAATTTGCCATTTTCACAGAAAATTTCCTCATGTCTGTTGTGATGCATCTTATTCAGCCTGCAAAAGTAATATGAATCCATAAAAACAGATGAATAAAATATGTTTCAAAATGAGTAAATGCATGCTTCTTTTTAGGTTTCAAAATATTAAATATAATAGACTTCATCACAACATCTTGCATCAGTGAAGTTATCTTCATCATCCCTGCAGTAATAGAACTTGAAAAATATAGAACTTACCTAAGAAAGGTAGAATTAAGATTTTTTTTCTGTTGGTTCTGTATAACCTCTTTATTATAAATTCTTCTTTAGTGTGCAACCCTTTATCCTGTTAATGAATTTTTGTTGGCCAGAATTTTTTTCTATTACTCCTTCCAGTTAAAATCAAAACATAAATTTGAAAGTAAAATGTAACTTAAATGGAATAAATGGACTGTTCGACAATATTTAAGAGAAAGTTTATAAGGAAAGTTTTTTTTAGGGCCTTGAGCTGATAGATTCACAACCTTATTTTGATTCCTCAAATGTAGCCACTGTCACAATATATAAGTATGCAGAACACATCACAAATATAAAACATATGCAGCTTGTATATATTTCCCCAAATGTGAAGTTGTATGGACATCCTATATGATTAATACTGGTTTGATTAATGTTTTATGTCTCTAATGTTTGTTGTTCTTTTATGAAGAGGAAACTCCAAGTACCATTACTATGGGATTCGTGTCAAGCCAGATTCCCCTCTTAATCGTCTGCAAGAAGACATGCAGTATATGGCAATGAGGCAACAGCCCATGCAGCAGAAACAAAGGTAGACTCTGGAGTTATCACTGACGTGTCAAAGCTATGTATTTCTTTAAATGTTTGGTCTCCTTTTTTTTTTCTGAACAAATAGAACAAATACCTAAGTTGTTTGCATGTTTTCACTACAGACGGTTCTCAAATATGATTTAGAATTATATTCATCCTATTTTCCAGTTCTTTTAAACTTCCTTATCAGGCAGGCTGTTTAGTCCCTTTTAAGTTGAATGTGACATCCCAAGCTATTCAGACAGGGAAACTAAATACAAAGCATAAAGAGTACACTCAAGCAAACACCAGCTGGAGAAATGTGTTCTAGTATTTACAAGCTTTTTAACTGCTGTTTTGCACATCTCTCAAGTCATTCTTTTTGACACAGTATATATTCTTGCAGAATGTTTGGGATTTCTTACACTTTCGTAGAATCCAGCCTTCATAGATGTGAATGGTAGATGTTAGAGCCGTAAGAGATCTCAAGCATTCATGGATGGATGGATGGATGGATGGATGGATGGATGGACGGATGGAACGAAAGAAGGAATCGTGTATCGTAAAACTGAAAAATACCTCAATCTAGTCTGGCCCCACAGCCTTGGAACAGAGTACTAATATTGCTATTTTTGAGTTAAGTCCCAGAGAAATCAAATGATTTACACAAGCCCATGATGCTATTATATAGCCAAGCTGTTATATAGCTGAGTGCCTAGATAGCTGTTATATAGTTAAGGAATTAGAATAGGAGGTGCATGGCTTGTTGTTTTTTTTTGTTTGTTTCTTTGTTTTAAGTACTACAATGTGAGAAATATTAAAATAAAGCTTTGGTCAAGGACCTATTGGAAGAGAGAGGAATTTTTTATAAAATTCTGGGAGGATTGGGAAATTTCAAAGAGAAATTGCTATTTGAGTAGGGACTTGAGGGATCAGAAAAAGAGGGACAGTCAGGCAGAGGCAGTAATGTAAACAAAAGTATAGAGGGGTAAAAAGTTCAAGATGTCTTCGGTAAATGCTCTGATTTGGTGAGGTTGGCATTACAGTAGAAGAATTGAGAAGGTTTAGTATTTTAGTGGCAGATGAGATTTAAAAAGTAGTTTGGATCATGATTAAGGGATTTAGTTATATATGAAGTTGTTTTTTGTGCAGAACATAGCTTTGAAGGCTTTGAAGTGAAACCATGAAATTTTCTAATTTTTTTTTAGAGAGACGGCTTTTTGATTTTGGGCAAGACATATTTAATGGGAAGAGATGAGAGGTAAAGACACATGTTAAATGGTTTTAACACAGTCATAATTTCTAGTGCAAGTGTCCCCAACTGAAGAGTCAGAACAAGATTGTATAATTAAATAAAGGTCTCTCAAGGGTTTTAGATTTTTAATTCAGAGATTCACAACCTTATTTTTTAAATTGTTAATCCCTATTTTTTGAGATATAGTTTGTGGAAGATAGTAAGAAGGGCTCTAAAAATATAGTACATCATAGAACAGTCCCTAATATGTTTGAAGATAAAGTTTGTGAGTTGTAATAAACTGTTATTGTCTTGGGTTATGATTCTTTTTTCACCTGTTGGGCGACACTTATAGCTTTTACTTTACGAGCTCTCGTCATGCACGTGTCACAGCACTGCACAGGAGAGGCGATGTGAGAGCAAGAAAAGAAATTTGATTAAAAAATAGTATGTACTCAAACTTACACATGAAAAAACTTAGTGAATTTTGCCTAAGACGGCTGAAGCCTACTTCTTCCTGTGATATATCTGCAAAGAATCCTACCTAGGAAGTTTTCGTGGAAATGAAGCCTTCAAGAGACATTCTTTATTTAAAAAAACCTGGGTTAGGTAAGCAAGATCCAGGACTTAACAAAGGTCTCCTAATTAAAAGATTCCAGAGCTATGAAAGTTACCAAGCCATGAAAGCCCTGTGATCTCAGTATAATAGTAAATGCTTTTAGAATTAGATATAGTATAGAGGTGTTTAAGAAGTGATGTAAAATTCTCAGTAATATTAATTGTTCCAACTTAGTTAATGTTTGCTTTCTCATGAAAGAAAAATGTTAGAGAACCAAAGTAGTACTGAAATTTTGTTGTTTTTTTTTAATTACGAAAGTTTTGGATTATAGACAGTTGTTGAGGGAATGATGTCTTGCTCCCTGGTTGCAGTGGTGGTGTTACCAACCTCAGGGACCCTCATTGGCATTAGCAGGGCAGAGGGAGGTTTCTGTTGTCACTGCAGGGCCCTATCAGCTGGCAACATCAATAGGCCTGAAGCAAAGCCAGACTTCCCCATTGTGCAGAAACACTTGGATAGGAGAGGAAGAGTTTCTCTCCTAACTCTCAGTGTAAGACATAAGAATATTTGTTGAAAACAATGGAAAAGGAGCTATATCATTTGCGTTATGGCTTATAAGATAATTCCAAAACTCAAATGATTCCATTGGGTATATTAAAATTCACACAAGAAGAGATTGACATTCTCCTGTTAAAATACAAGTGACACATGAAAGGTTTAAAATATTTTATAAGTGGTACCAGTTTTTAATATTTTAGAATATTCAAATTGTTTAAATGCTTTGAGGTTTATTGTATTCATCTAAATGTGTACATCTTCCATAGTATAAATTTACATGTTTCACATATTCTTAGATTAACAACATCAAGTATATGCAATGATTATTTCATCAAATAAAAGAGGTTTTAAATCTCAATTTGTACATTTTCTGATTGTTTGGAATCATAGTACTTGTAGCAGTAATAATGATTATTGTTTTGTATATCTTTATATTTGTTAGATCTCCTTTACAGGTGGTATCCCACTTGAAGATTTGATGGGGTATTAAAGGAAATTTTCACTTATCTACAAATCAGATTTGCGGCAACACCACCATATGGAACATAGCCATGAGTCTGGAAATAAATGGAAACAGCTTCTAATTGAAAAACAGATGTCATGGAGCCTGTAGTTTAGCTTAATTGAAAAGATGAAGCCATCCTCAAGCCATTTACCTAACATACAGATGCAGATCAGAGCACACTTGATTCACAGGAAATCATTAGATGTAACAGCTGGCAAGAGGAAATATAAGTAGACAAAGGTCTTTTATTTGCTTTGGGTTATTCAACACAGCAGTCTGTGCACATTCATCGGAGGGAGAAATGGATGCAGGCACTCCCTGGGGCCCTTCGAGTATCACTCTAGTGACTAGAATCAAGTCTGACACAGTTTGATAACTGTTTGCTAATTGATAGAATTATAGGTCTTCGAGAAGAGGTAAATACTCTGGTTAAGGAAGCAGAAGAATGTGTTATAGTTGATTTTTAATATCTTCTGTAGAAAGTACCTCATATGAAAATAACATATGCACTTACATGTGGTAATCTTCAGTTTTCAAGGAAATTCACTCATGAACTAATTTATTAACTATAATTTAGAGAACAAATAAACTTAGTTATTATAGAGCAAAATGGAAACCAGTAATTTTCATATCTACATACTAATTTAAAATTTTTGCTGCAGTTTATTTTTAATATTTAAGAGAAGCACAGAGAAGCTGTTGACACATACATTTTAGGTATTCTTCCAAATCCTAGTAGCAAAAGTGGTGGAATGGAGCCAAGTGCATCAACAGTGTGCTGGGCTATGTTCAATCTCAGCAGCCATTCTCACAATTAAACTGCATTTATCATTCCTTCAAACAAATACTTGAAACCAACAGTTGCGTACCAAACATGCCCATCACATCACAGAATCATAGACTGTTAGAGCTGGAAGAGATCACCTAACCCAACCCATCCTCTTGAGAAAATTGGAGTCTATGAAGGGTAGATACTTATCCAAGATCATAGAGCAATTAGGACTAGACCCCAGTCCTCTAGTCTTTATTGTTATAAGAATTCCACCCTTAAAGAGGCAAGATAACCCAAACAGCAATTAATACACTAATAAAATTTTTGCATAGGAAATAAAGTAAAAAGTCATATTTTAGTATGTCCTAAATAAGTGAGGAAGTGTGCCCGGACCTGCCTCTTTAAATGGTCTCTTCACAGAAATCGGATTCTGTGAAAAATGGCACCTTTGTGGCACTGAGGGGAAGGAAATAGAGGCCAATTTGAAAGATGGTACAACAAGGCTACTTTCGCTTTGGCAGTAGACAGCTGTGAAAGCACACATGGTCCTAAGGAGTGAGGGAGGACTAGAACCTGAGTTATTAGAGGGCCTTTCTTAATACAAGTGAAAGAACTCTATACTTAAAATTGGAAGCATGGATTTGAGTACAGGTTGCTTTGGCACTTCTGCAGAGTGTGTGACTGAACTTCATTGAACCTCAATTTTTTTATCTGCTAAATGGAAATTAATAATAAACTACCTTATGGATTATTTTGAAGTTCAAGTGGAAAAAGTATGTAGTTTTCTTAAAACTGGAAATATGCAAGTGTTAGATAAGTAATAATTATTATCACTATAAAACTTGTGCACTAGAGAAAAATATTTCTTTATTTCTTTAGAAATAAAGTTGTTTTGGGTATCGGTGAAGCCTGGCCATTGGACGGACACACATGGCTTCCATTTCTTTGTACCTCTAGGCCAGTGGTTTTCAACTCTGATTGATGTTAATAGTTTAGCATTCCTTTCCTGGACCATGAATTCCCTGGAGTCACTTCAGAGCTAAGCACCTAGTGTTGGTAAGTTGCTCTGAGGCAGCTGAGGGTGGCAGGAGTTTTTAGTGGCAAGATGATCAGTGCCTGTGCATTTGGCTTTTGGAGGCAGATAAGAAATCTTGGCTCTCAGGTATTTAATGTTCATTGTGCCACTGCAGCAGCCCCTGATGTGAGGATAGTTTTCATTGAAGGTAGAGAATCACAATTCAGTAATTATTAACTGCAATAATTAATGGAAACTTTGATAATACTAACAGTTATCACTTACCCTTCCGATGAGCATTTATGGAACATTTAAGATGTTCTCCAGTAAGCACTTAATACGCATGATCTTTTTTGGCAATTATAGTGTTATTTACTGA